CCTCTCATTGCCATGTTCATAACCCATCTCCTTGCTAAAGCCATCTCTCTTATCAGCCAGATTGCCCTCCAGTTGATTGTTTGTGAACAATCACTGCTTCCATTATTATGGAGGTATTTCTGCGGGTCGCCCCGCTGAGACGAGGCATCCAGATGAGTGCTTCTGTGCCAAAACAGTACGACCTGTTATAAGAGGGAGAGGCAAGGTCATTGCTTTCAAATGACAACAAACCCGATCTCCAATAGCTCTTTTGTTAGCTGCGCAGCACAGAGGAAAATGGAGGGAAAATCTGTGGCTTTCCCTCCGGGCGACCAGCAACTAAAAGAGCTCCCTTTATTTAACCCTTTGGCTTTGTAAGCGTACACTTGACAGCCTCTTTTCAGATAAAAGCTGGATGTTGACCCTGAAATATATAAGATCAATCTCAACACAAGAGGTGAGGCAACTTAGAATGAGAGCTTTGTCCATGCTAGGAATGCGTTTTCAAGGACTTCATGTTTTCAACCAACTAGTCTGAGATTTATGTGAATGATTAGTTGAACTTTAAATCTTGAATAGGCTGGGTTAGGGTCATGACTACCAGACACCAAACACACTCATTTATATATAGATGATAAAGGCAGCCTTTCAATAGAGTAACTGACAGATATTCAGTAAGTAAAAAGAGTAAATATCAGTAGCCTTTTATTAAACAAATGAAAAAGATGGAGGTGGATTATGAATCATGCATAATAACAAGAGCATTGCTCATAGCAGGCCTTGAAATATTATCAAAAGAAGTATTATCTAAGGTGGTGAATTTGTTTTAAAATCATTGTGTTGGCTGTATGAGTGATGCTTTAAAAGGGACAAATTTAGAGACTGTTTAAAGAGGATTTTTCCATTTCCAAGGCTCTACAATAGAGACCTGCACTCCCGCGGGAGTACCACGGGACCCGCGGGACCCAACGCAACAGGGTGCGGCGCGAGACAACTCTTGATGGGCGAGTGCGGGTGCGGGCGGGAAGAGACTCGTGAGTGTGCGGGATGCGGGAGAATAAAATGATTTGCGGTACTCCCGCAAAATAGAAATGATCTAAACATAAAGTGTCTAAAACATATCAATTGTTATTTATCTGTTGCACTAAAGCAAAAAGAACAACTAATATTAACATTAAAATGATTAGCGCGCAAGCTAGACATAGTTTCTATTTATAACACGTGTTTAAAGGGTTACAATGTAGCCAATCACAGACTCAGCTGTTGATTTCTGGAACGCAATAAACATGAATGTCGCGGGCGGGAGCGGGACCAGATAAGATATATTTTTGCGGGAGCGGGCGGGCCGTGCGCGGGACAGAATCTTGCGGGAACGGGCGGGAGCGGGACTGAAAAATCCGTCCCGCGCAGGTCTCTACTCTACAACAAGGATGACCAGTGACACGAGGGACAGTGAGAGAGTTTCAGGCCAGTTCACTTGCCTTTTCGGGCCAGTGCTGAAAGTTACACATTCACTGATCTTGTGTATACATATCTTTTGAAAAGAAAAGTCCTTTGAAAAGAATTGTGAGACTGTGTGTAAAAAGGGACATCAGCATCTGTTTTGCCTTAGAAAGTTGTCCAGATTTCACAATGATAGAGCTATGATGACACTTTTTTTATCTGACTTTTATTGAATCAGTTATGTCATTCTCTCTTGTGTCATGTTTTGGAAGTTTGTCTTTGAAGAACAAAAATTCTTTGAACAAAATTGTCAAGTGGGCTGGTATGATTATAGGTGAATCACAACCTAACCTATCAGGTCTCTACTCCAACCAGTTGTAGCGTAAGGCGAGTGCTGTTATTAGAGATTATTACCACCCTTTACACATTGAGTTTCAGCTCCTCTGCTCTGGCAGACTGTTTGTGGCCCCTAGGTGGAGAACTAAATGATATAGGAATACTTTTGTACCGGCAGCGATAGAATTAATGAATAAAAATAGCAGCAGATGATAGTATTTATTATGCTTTTGGGGGTGGGGGGGTGTGAAGGTACATTTTCATGACTTTTAAATAATTTTTAAATAATGTTTATAGTATGTTAATGTTTCTATGAATTGTTTTAAGTATGGATTGCCGAATTACCTGTCTGCACAACAAATTTACCTTCGGGTATTAATAAAGAAACCTTGAACCTTTCTGACTGCATCAGTAAGAATGATCTGAAAACGAATTAATTGGTTATGTTTTGCATCATATGCCGTCATTTTCCAAAAGTGTTTTTATGAATTTATGTTATTAATATGTTACATTATAGCTATATAATTTCCAACTTGTTGCAAATGTTATTTTTGTTAAAGAAAAAAAAAATAGATTTAATGAAATATATTATTTCTAGTAAATACATATAAATATAAAAATGTAATAATTTTAACAAAAATAAAAATGGTTAATTCTGAACTATTGTTGAAAAAGCCTTATTGTTGGGACCTAACTAAATCATCCTGATAGCTATGGAAGAATTTATAACTTTTTGAAAGACAAGTTCTCATCACAAATCTACACAGAGTGAGCCTTAAAGTGGAAGTGAAGCAGTCAGTCAAGTCTACATTATTTTGTAAACCGATTTCCACTTTAATTAAAACTATATATATATCAAACATTATTAATGTAACTATTTCAAAGAAAAAAGGTTATGTTTTGTTATAGCTTTATAGGAGCAAGGGCGCCACCATCTTGCAATACCACAGCAGGTCTGACATAAAAATAAGATGCGACCAGTGAGCCTTAAAGTGGAAGTGAAGCAGTCAGTCAAGTCTACATTATTTTGTAAACCGATTTCCACTTTAATTAAAACTATATATATCAAACATTATTAATGTAACTATTTCAAAGAAAAAAGGTTATGTTTTGTTATAGCTTTATAGGAGCAAGGGCGCCACCATCTTGCAATACCACAGCAGGTCTGACATAAAAATAAGATGCGACATGAACGATATTGTATGAAGCGCTGTTTGTTTACATCACGTTGCGCCTCATGCTATGAAAACAATGTTTGGGATACCACGATCAAAACTTCGTGATTTAGACAGTTTGATGTTGGATATTCATCCAATTTATGGTGAAAACCAAACACATTTGTGTGTTAAAATAATATTTGTGAGTTCAAAAAGTAAAGAAATGTTTATATTACTTCACTGGGCATTGAAGCAAACCAGCCCCGTAACTTCACACGCTGTGGTACTGCAAGATAGCGGCCTCCTTGCTCCAAAAGCTTTAACAAAACATCCTTTTTTCTTTGAAATGGTTACATTAAATGAGTAATTTGCATGTAAAATGGTCCTTCCTGATAAGTCTCCTCCAGATTCACAAACACTTTGTAAACCTCAGATTTGTGTTGTTATAGTAAAAGTTATCAAAATGCAGTGTTATCATCCTGGTGTTTTTTGCAGCATTCACAAGTGGTCCGAAGCAGGTTTACATTTTTTCATAAATATGAACAGTTAATAATCGGTTAGAACAGCTTTATAAATGATTTACACAAAAATTTATTCTGCTTGTTTTATGAATGAGCCAATTTCCCACAAACTGTTTGGTGTTTGTGGAAACTGCTGTTACAATATTTGAGTTTGTTTTCCACTCAATCACAGTCCATTATTGTATTTTAATGAACTTCAGAGTTATAGCACATAAAAACTGTGGTTGTTGATCGCTTTGCATGTTGCTCAGATGGTATCTTATTCCTAATAATTTGCACTAATTTGTAATAATCAAACGTCTGGCTACACAAGGTACTACCAGACAGACACCTTTAAAGTTTTTGGTGATAGCTTTACTGGAACTGTCAACACACTAAAGCACAGCATGTTAAAAATTAGCTTTCTGAGAAATATCCCTCCTTAAAGCACAACCAGTCAAACACCCTGACTTGACTCTAGTATTGGGGGTGCTCCGATTGATCAGCCACCGATCGCTATCGGCCGATAATGGCTTGGGGATGTTTGATCGGCGGTCTCTATAAAGGCCGATCTCTTAAACCGATCTCGCGCCTGCCGTGAAAGGTTTGGCATGACATGCAGCGGCACCATCTCAATCTCTGTCCGGCGTGGGTAAATTATTATAATGCTAAAGGTGAGGTACAATTCATATTTCTTCAGTAAATAACTTACAAAGTAATTTGAAAACTTTCGGTGAGACGTAATTTCACAAACAGCGTAAGTGAATCACCCCCGTGCGCTCTCTCTTTCCCTCTCTAAATGTGCAAAAGGGTTCAAATCAGCACATGGCGTCTGCACAATAAGCGAGCTGCACAGTTCACACAGGAATTGTCACTTGCACAATCGAGGCAGTGTTGCATCGTCACTAAAGTTTATAATTTTAATTTATTTTTAATTCTTGTCAGTGTTTAAATCATTCAGCACTTGCGCGCTCTCCTAGAGACGGTGCACTCACGCACACTCAAAGCACGCACACATAATGCCAGGTTCACACATACTCTTGCTTATATTTATTGTGTTTAAACATGTCTATGAAAAATTTTATTTCTGTACTGTGTAAAAACAGAATCACAATGCTCAAAAAGCATTTTCAGTAACGTTTGAATTTGAAATAAAAAAGGATCAATGTTGTGTTTGTGGCAAACAGCCGCGGATCAGTAGCAGACCTCTGAGTGAAAGCAAATGAGTCCGTGCTGCTTCTGCACCGCTTACATACCGCACATGGACTGCATAAGCACTGCAAACGGAGTATGTGCGAACCTGGCATGAGGCCGCCTCACATACAGCTCACGAAATCAGGCTTGTGCCGTGTCAGGGTATATACAGGAATCATGGAGTTAAATTTAATACCTTTTAAGACCTTTTTAAGACTCTTTCTATACATTTTAAGACCTCATCGCCAGTTTTAACCGGTTACATCGGCGACACTTTAACTTACATTTACTATATATTGATTGTAAGATAGCGCAACTAAACAGACTTACTTTGTGATAACTCCTTATCAATACAAAGTGCCTCAGTTCCCCTGCCCATGTCACAGGTAATCTTATTCTTTCTTAGTCATACTGGCCTGAGCACTGAGAGGCTTCATCACTCCCTCCTGGACCCGAGAAAAGTAGACAGGAAAGGTCAGCGGAAAGGGCGTGTAAGAAGGAGGGATACTGTCAGTTCTTGTCTGCAGTGAAGGACTAGAGGGGGAAAATACAAGGGAAAGATCAGGACAACTTTACCGACAGAACAGACTTCACCCTTCAGGAAGGGAAGACCACTGCATAATACACCACAGCGATTTGTTAAACTACGGTAACACTTTACTATTTCCGTCTGGAGAACGTTTGATGTTACATGCATCGTTGATGAGAGCACCTGTTCTATGAGCAGACGCTGAAATGTGCAACTGCTAATCAAAGTCTCTGGCTGCATGAAGACACGGTGAAAAACTTACTTCACTTAACATTCACTTAATGCCTCCAGAAACTGCTCACCTTATTATTAAAGCATAATTCACCTGAAAATATAATCAATTATGTCATTATTTTCCACAGTGTTTCTGCAGGGTTTATGATAGTAAATTTAAGACTTTTAAGACCTTTTTTAGACTGAGTGAAGAGAATTTAGGAAGATAAATTTGATGGAATATGTCAATATGCTCTCTAAATGTAAATGTCTTGTATTAGCAATGCTTCAAAGATTGAAAATACAACTTTAATTTGAAAATAAGTATCAGTATTTGTCTTGTTTTCCAGTGCAAATGTCTAAAAACTCCTAGGATCTTAAGATACATTATTTACCCTGAGAAACAAAATGACATAAGAAGTCTCATTTTATTAGATATTGATCAAAACGAAGGGAGCTTATGACTAAATCAAGAACAAATAAAAACTTAATTGGAGAGGGGGGAAGTTTTTATACCCCATTCACAGATATTTGTTCTTGTTTTATGCTTAAACTTAATTTGACAATTTTTCCCAAAAAAGGGGGAAAACATAAAATACATCTCAAGTAAATGTATCTTGATTTAATATTTAGATACTTGTATTGGAACATTTACGGCCATGACCAATCCAATTTTTGAAGAATCTATAAAATATTCAAAATAATAGTGGTTATCATATGTGTAGTAAACAAACATGACATGCCACAACCATATTTAAAGACATGTCCTATAAATAAATTGTTATAAAAAATAAATAATGTCTTTTTCCATCTTTCTTCAGGATTTTTTTCATACTTATCTAATTTACTCCAGGAAGAACTGTTGAATCTCATGATAAATTGCTTGAGATATTCCTCATTTATAAATCGCTTTAGATAAAAGTGTCTGCTAAATGACTAAATGTAAATTAGAGCTTCAGTGGGGAAAAAGGTAAGTTATCAGTGACTTCACTTTCAGTCTGTTCCTCACGCAAAGCTATTGTATGGCTTATCGAAAGACTATGATTATAGCGCATGATACTTTTATGGTGATTTTTGCCCCTATTAAAGCATATGGGTTTGCAACAACATGAATGTTAGTAAATGTAGACAAACTGTTAATTTTCCCTTTAAGATGTTAAATTCTAGTCATTTAGGTCATTTATGCTTTTAACTAAGAGCATTTCACAGCAGGAGTTTGGGAGAATACGTGTCAGACATCTGGTGTAAATTCATTCAGATGAGATGCTCTCTGTAAGAGCCGCGGTGCAGCACATGTTCTTGACAGGTCTGAGCAGTCATACTTACGCAAGTAATGCAGGTTTGAGAGCAGACTATGAGCCAGCCCCATTCTTCCTGTCTCACCTCAATAACTTCTTGTCCCTTCTGTGACTAATAAACAGAGGCAAGAGCCACTGAAAAAAGAAACTTGTCTCACATAACCTTCACATCCACCTGAAATTAATCTAAGTGTTTACTGGAGATCTCAGCAAACATTCTAACACTTTACCCAAAAACTTCATGGAAAACTGATATACTGAAAACGACTTTTACATCTTTTAACCTACAGTCACATTGGCAGCACTTAGCACCACCTACTGGAACATGCAGTCATGACACTGGAAGCTGGATAAAACTAAACCATAATCAGAAATTTTGATATCACTGACATGATCAGGACGAAAAAAGCTAAAAAAACGGTCTATCGGTCTCAGTCAAGATTTTTACCATACATACACAAGACAAAATAGGGGAAAAAAATCTCTCAAAATGTCTCAAATTTAAACTTTAGTATCCACCGGGAGCACTATAATTTAAAAAATAAAAAAAAATTCTCTATACACCTTCGCTACAAAATAATTTTGATAGTTTTGTTTATTTAGAAACTCTTTTATAGTGTTTTAACATCTCTTGGCTATTAATTCGTTTTTCCGAATTATGATTAAAGGTTTGCAACTGCTGTTGTTTGCTGTTGGTCTTTAAGGCCTATTGCATGTCCTGGTTTTTGCTACTAATATGATTTGTGTACTTTATTTTGTAAAAAAAAAAAAAAAAAAATCTGCTAAAAACATAATTCCTGAATGATTAGACAATGGTGCAACAAACATAAATAATTCATTCTGACTCTAAAATGGTCTGGAATGTAACCAAGATTGCAACGTAAACTTCTAAGCACCCGTCAGATTCTCTTACATCACCCTCCAAAAATAGATCTGAGTCCATCTGTTCCCGCTTATTTCAGACCATTATATTTGATCTCTGAAAGAAGGTTCCAGCAGAGCATCTCAATCTGCCGTCATCAGTGAGAACGCATTACATTGGATACAGAAATAACACGGAGTGCAGGAGACATGCAGAGTAATTATGTCAGGGTGAGCTTTTAAAGAGTAAATTAACATCAAATAGTATCTTGAAATAAACCTAGCGAGAAAATACTTGCTCATATTTCATAGATTTCAGCAAATCAGCAGGCACAACAGCTGAAATGCCCCCAGATCATTTACAAAAATAGCCTAATGTTACCTTCAAAAACTGCACAAGAATGAAGGTGCTGGACTACTCAGAATTTCAGGGTCATCAGGATTACGTCAGGCTGAGGCTAAAGCAGAATGACGCTGGAAGAAGGAGGGGGAAAAAACGACTTCATTATAATAGAATATGTTATAGTGCTTTACAACAGTTTTATCAATGATACACCTTATTATCAAGAAAACGTAAACAAAATTAAAATGGAATGTACAAGAGCATGAATCTGTATATGAATAATAATAAAAACTATCTTCATTTATTTATTTTTACTTATTTTACTGGCGATATAACCATCATATCAAAGTATAGGAATACATTAACTTTACAACCTATTATTATAAGCCAGGCTGCAAATGCAACACTCAGTTTCATATTACATATAACAGGTCTGTGGCCTCAAAGCAGTTCCCTGGTGTAATACATTAATGCTAACAAAACAGTAGTTGCATAGAAGATAGCTCTAAATAAAATAAAGCTATAATACTGCATTAACACTGACAAATTACCGTGTTAAACATCAGACAGACTTCACTTCAGCTCTTAAGACAAGAGAAGTCTCAAAAACACTGCTTTTTACATGATACATGTCAGAAAAACCTCTAGTCCGTATTTAAGAGCTGTTTCCGCTGCTTAAACCCTCAGCAGGTGCTTTTGATTGCGTAATTTCAGCAAATACTACAGCGCCCTCTGCTGTCACGACAGTTAAACGCTATTTTAACGTACACAAAGGCTTTACCTGTTACAGTTGATACTATTTAGCTTTTCATTGTGTCAAATACAAGAATAATGTTAAATACATTTTAAGTTTTGTAATTTATTATGACTAAACATTAAAACCCGTTGGGCATCCCGATATACCAACATACAGCAAAGTAAACTTACCTTAAATAAAATGTACTACATACTAATCTAAAACAGTTGCAGTAATGTTTATTTTACGGTTCGCACCTCTTTTTAATCGTATAGCGTGTTTCTTCATTCTGTCATTAAGCAGTTATGTGTCGCCTCACAGTACTTCATTTGGCGCTCTTTGCGCGAGCCGTCCTTTACTTCAACACGTCACGTGTGACAATGAGCCTATCATTTATAACTAAACTGTCCCAGTGATATTTGGGGGGTTGTTAACGTTTTGTATTATATGGTATAAATTTACTTTAAAGGAACAAAAAATAGTAAAAAAAAAAAAAATCAACATTGGGTCATTAGATTTACTCACCCCTATGTTAATAGCTCCCCCTCAAAAAACGCTCAACTCCTATTTGCGGCGCATGCGCAAGATTTTCTGGCCAAGTAAAACACGTTTATGTGTGAAGTCAACTGTTTAAGGCAATTTAACTGCAAATATGGCTTGAACACAAATATGCTCGGGGGCATTAATGAAATATATCCTCTTTGCAACCAGAAAAAAAAAGTTTTAGAGTTTTAGAATTAAAAAAAAAAAATGTCATTACATTGGTTGGAGCATAACAAATGGAGAAAAATAAATAATAATAAAAATTGCACACACACACACACACACAAAGATGATTCTCAACTAGTTATAAAAGATATAACAGTATGATTTGATATAATATTTTACTTTATGCAATTTGTCTATAAGTGGGAAGCCTAATCCCATTTTATAGGCCTACAGTGTATCTATAAATTGCATCTAATTTGCATATTAATGTGTTCTTGGGGCAAACCATAATGAAAAGAAGAAAAAGAAGTGTAATAATGGGAGCAATAACTAAGAATATCTCATATTTCATAAGAATATTGATCATTTCTTGCCCCATTGACTTGTTGTGTCTCCCAAAAATGCCTGATTAACATGCCACATGTCCTGGTGTCTATAGAAGACATGTATGAAAATTATGCCCCGTTTCGTAACAAAAAGCCATATTCCGATTTAAAACCCATAAAATTTTTCCTGAGATGTTTATTTACGGCAATTCGAAAATTAGCCAGATTTAAAGGATAATTACAAAACATCATATTTCCCTAAGAGTGCTCAATTTGATAATTCTGTCAATATCAGTCAAATTTAAAGACCAAGGAGAAGGAGTGTTTATGATAAAACTGTGGCATGTACTGTCTCAGAGAAATTCACTAAAATATAATGTCCTCTACAGAGGACAAAAGTCTATGCCTGGGTCCCATGAGGATATCTGGCCAAGTAAAACACGTTTATGTGTGAAGTCAACTGTTTAAGGCAATTTAACTGCAAATATGGCTTGAACACAAATATGCTCGGGGGCATTAATGAAATATATCCTCTTTGCAACCAGAAAAAAAAAGTTTTAGAGTTTTAGAATTAAAAAAAAAAAATGTCATTACATTGGTTGGAGCATAACAAATGGAGAAAAATAAATAATAATAAAAATTGTATAGCCTATAACGAAGTGTAATAATGGGAGCAATAACTAAGAATATCTCATATTTTATAAGAATATTGATAATTTCTTGCCCCATTGACTTGTTGTGTCTCCCAAAAATGCCTGATTAACATGCCACATGTCCTGGTGTCTATAGAAGACATGTATGAAAATTATGCCCCGTTTCGTAACAAAAAGCCATATTCCGATTTAAAACCCATAAAATTTTTCCTGAGATGTTTATTTACGGCAATTCGAAAATTAGCCAGATTTAAAGGATAATTACAAAACATCATATTTCCCTAAGAGTGCTCAATTTGATAATTCTGTCAATATCAGTCAAATTTAAAGACCAAGGAGAAGGAGTGTTTATGATAAAACTGTGGCATGTACTGTCTCAGAGAAATTCACTAAAATATAATGTCCTCTACAGAGGACAAAAGTCTATGCCTGGGTCCCATGAGGATATGAAATATGGTCCAATATCAGGATCATCAATGTTTCACCACTAGGTGGCGCTACCTTCATAAAAATCTTGCATGGGCGGTAAGAGTGCCGATAAATACACATTATTTATATTATTTATATTATTTTAATTATTTTACTTTGTTTTATTATTATTTTTTTTTTTATGATTTACTTTAAAGTGTAAAGGCTGCTTCAAAGGATGAGTCTATAATAGTTTCCCTCTTTAAGTGGCGTGGGAAACAGGCTGAAAACATAAACACCTCTCTGTGATGACCCTGTACAATTACTGACCGCAGGCCACAGACAATATCAATTCCAGTAGACAACTAATAGAAACAGCACAATGACAATAAGAGGTTTACATTAAGATTACACAGCAGATCCAGACCCAGGCTGTAAAGAGTTATTGGTGGAGAAGATCAAGAAGACTATGAATGAATACTGAAACAGGAATGAGTCATGTAGGTAGACTGTAGTTGTAATTCTGAGTGGAACAAACAGCTTTCACCACAAAAATAATATTTTCTCCTGGCACATTTACACGCACAAGCAATTTATATGTGCCAGGATATTTTAATTTGACTTTTTATTATAAATAAAATATTTTCTCCTGGCTCGTTTAAAATTGCATATAGTCAATTTGTATGTGCCGGGAGATTTTTTAGTTTTTAATTTATAATATGTTATAGCTATTTTTGCTTTGATTTGTAAAGTTTTAAAGTTTTTATTCTCACCATGCACACATCACGTGTGAAAGAAAGAAACTGTGCTGTTAAATAGGAGAATCACAGTATATTGTCTTGTTTATGTTAGGTTACTACCAAACAAAAATGCGTCACAGCTTTACCACCTTGATGACAAACTCTTGTAAACCCTTGTTATGCTGTCAGCATACTGTAGATATGTGTGAGCAAGTGCTCCCTGAAGGCATTTCATATTGAATAACATGCACACAGTTTAAGAGGCAGGCCTACACGCTGCCTGTATGATGACTCCCTACATACACAGATAATGGTTAAATCTTCTTCTCATAGGATATTTTCCACACAACTTCCCGAGTCACTCCACACATAGACAATACGTGTTTGTGTGTGACTCACAGGACTCTCACCTCGGCAGAGAGAGTGGGAAATGTGATGACTCTAAAGTCGGATTGAGGTGATTAAGCCTGAAGAATGGCACACATTAACACTATCTGCACTATCTCTTCCCACAGTAATACAATATGAATACAGTATGAAATTACTCTCACGGGTCTCTTTACTGAATGTCCTTGTTTTCCTTGTATATCAGCAAAAATTCATATTACCGATCTGACCTGACTGAAGCAGAAGTGGAAGTGAATTCTTATCATTGTTATAATAATTTAGTCTAGAATTAGATATAATTTATTTCTGATGATGATCATGTGATTGAGTGACTCTGATAAGTAATACTGGCTTTATACATTATTTTTGTTTGTTTGTTTTTTATATATTACTATTTTTTTAACTGATTGGTGCCATTCAAAACTAGTATCGAAATTACACACTGGAACTTAAAGTTACTTTATTGTTCTGAAAGGAGAATTTGTCTTGGACTCCGAGGCTGCACATTATACATTATCTACAAAATAATAATAATAATAATTTAGTATTTATTAAATGAATAAATAAAATACAACAGTAAACAGAACCATCAAACACTTGAATGATATTATTAGTAAAGAATTTATTATATTCCAGTAAAACACAGATGCACTAAAAATAAGTATTTTGAGTAGAAAACAAAGCCACTCAGAAAAGGCTAAATTTCAGAATTAATTACAACTAATTGGCCAGTAATACATTGAATTAAATGTTACATTTTTAAGTAGAAATACAGAAATAGCATTTTCTTGTAAAAGTGCTCCAATTCTCTTTATTTGCAACTTCAAAAAAAAAAAAAAAAAGCATTTTGTACAGTGTGCAAACAAATAGATTTTATTGATTAAAATGTGGGGTGTTTTTTTATTTATTTAATAGGAAGAAGGAAATCCTTTTCTGAGTGAGCAACTTTTATAGAGGTGTGAAAATTCCTCTGGAAGTGCTGCAAACATGCATTAACATACCAGTGCAAAGCCAAGGTTAGTGGACAGAGCTGTGCTCACTCATTACGTTAACAGTCCCTCAGGAAATAAATATCTATAACGCTTTCTACAGACCTCTAATAAGACGCGGGTAACAACCATTCATTACAGAGGCTCAGGCCAGAGATTTACAAATCTCAGGAAAGCGCGGTTAGGCAGGTTCCCCTTACCTTGAAAACGGTTATTTCTTTAAGGGCGTCACAGGACGAGCAGTAAAGGCTTTGATTTATTCTTGGCGGCTGATAATTGCTAGGGTCTTGTCATCTGTCAGAAGGGAGAAATTTGGACTGTCCGAGGTGCAGATTTCATGCTCTCTCTGGGAGGCCATAAATCTCTCAGGGGCCCCTCGTAAATCAGAGGCTGCTGAGAGGAACGCTGATCTCTTCCTGAGCCTGATTATACAATGAAAACTGACTGCAAAAATATTTTGAATTTCCATGGTGCCAATTCATTGCTTATGCTTTGACAATGACACCTCAAACCTGAAAAGAAATCACAAGCAAGGCTCTCTTCCACCTTCAATACCATGACTGAGGTGCCCTTGAGCAAGGCACCGAACCCCCAACTGCTCCCCAGGTGGAAAAAAAAAAAAAGCTGCCCACTGCTCTGGGTGTGGGTGTGTGTTTGTTTACTACTCACTGCTGTGTGTGCACTGTGATGAAATAAATGCAGAGCACAAATTCTAAAAATACTTTTTT